CCTTCTCACATTACAATTGCAGGAGACAGATTCCATTAGCGGTATCTGAAATTGAGTGGAGAGCTGCTCCGTTATCAGACTTGACTCATAAGCGCCGCTATTAATCAGAGCTATGATAGCATTTATATATTTCAAGCTATCTGCCGCCGCTGTGATATTCTGCTACAAAGGGTTGATGGGACTTAGGGAAGGGAACAATGGAGCTTTCTGGGAAAAGCAGAGTAAATCAAGAAAGTCTGTGACTTCCGCACATTCTGAAGGGATTGCGGTTTACATAAATTTTCTCCCAATTGGAGATTGAGCTCTTCCTCATCTTACACATGGGATTTAGTTGTCACTCAATGGTAACAGCTGTGAAAAGGTGAAGCGGCCCACCGCTCAGAATATTGCCTCCGCTTTTAAAGCAATTAACCCATGAACAGGAGGATACCTGGTGATATCAAAGGGATTAAGCCAGGCAGTGCATTATTAACATTTCCTTGAACTAATTCTAACTCTGACTAGCTGTCAGAAAAGACTCTTCAGTCTTTAAAAAAAAAAAAAAAAAAAAAAGAGGTTTTTTTTGCCCTGCTTTTTCCTCCCCCCCTCCCTCCCTTCAAAACGAAGCAGAGTTACTGCAGCCTCATGTGCCTACTTTAGAGCCAAATGCAAATTAACAGATTTGGTAACGTCTTCAAACAGACTAAACTCAGCGCCGGTTTATTATGGCGACAAGTGGGAAAAAAAATAAAAATATACATAAGATCAATTAGCCAGAGGCCAGGGGAGATATTTTAAAAGCTAATTAGTACATGAGTACCTTCCTTTCTTCTCTCCCTCCTAAAAGTTTGTAACTACTTATTACTAAGCACATCTGTTTTCCAAATGCCCAAGATCCTCCTGCTGTGCTACAACAGCGGTAATCTATGATAATCTGTAATCTGGAAAAATCCAAATATGCCCCGCAAAGAGATTCCTCCTTCCTCAAAGCCCAATTTTTTAATTTCCCACTCCAGCTGAGTGGGCACTGGCTCCTCTCTCAAGCCTCCATCTTCCCCTAACCATGGCCACAAAAAAAGGGGTCAAACTGTTCAGGGATGACTTCTGCTCTGGTAAACCCATGAACCCCAGGGATATGGAGTATTTCCTCACTCAGCAGAGGCAGAAGACAACTTTTCCCAGCACCAGTTAGTTTTAAGGGAGCATCAGCCATGAGGTCCCTCTGGGATGGCCATGAAGGTCACCCATCCTCCTGGTCCTTCCTAGGGATCTTCCCACGAGAGCTCCAGGACACACAGCCCGGGAGCCAGAAAGCTCAGTGCCATCAGGATGGTCAAGTGCCATTTCCAAAGCATTATGATGATAACAAAATGATAAAATAATTTTGATTATTTCACTATGCAACACGACTAACGCTGCTTTTTGTTGGCAGTGGGAGAAAAGCTGGCTCTGGTTTTTAAATACATCCACAGCGTGTTGTTTGGAAGGTTTAGGGGGTAGAGAATATATATATATATATATATATACATATATATATTAAAAAAATAAATATAAAAAAAATATATGTATAATGTATTAGTCCAAAAGTTAATACAATACCCAGAACAGCATAATGAAGAAACGTGACTGGCTTAATTTAATGCAACATTTTCCCCCTTTTCCAAACCCCGTGTCCAACTCAGACAGAATAAAGCTGGCAAAAACTTACTAGAAGCACTTGTGCAATGACACCACCTACTCTGCTACTGCCCCTGCAATAAAACAGCTTTGTATATTTAAATACCTCAAAACAGCCAAACTATGAAAGGTATACACTGGAAAAGAAAAAGCACTTAGAGGAAAGCATCCTATTTCTCTTTGCAACAGAGAATGCAAAGAATGCATCCCCTGCGCAGAAAATGACACTTTGGCAATCATATTATAAGAAGATAATTGGTTTACTTTGTAAACTTGCTATGCTTTGCCTCCCACAGTAAAAAAAAAAAATTAGTTGTTTAAAGAAACAATCCTACAGCCGCGCTCGCTGCGTCCTAAAAACATAAAGCAAAGATGAATTCAAAGCAAAGATGAATTGTTTGCCTCACTTACAAGCAGCCTGAGAAAACTCTTTGTAAATGCCATTTTACGATAATTACAGGCGGTTTATTACGACTGTGAAGGGGGGGGAAGAAAAATCCGTGTTCGAGAACTAACTCAAAGGAGCGAACGGCTCGCTCCGAAATAGTCTGGATTACTCACAAAGGGGCTTTTTGCATCAACGTGGTTCGACGTAATTTTGCTTTAAGAGGAACAATCCAGGCTTAAAAAAATATAATTAAATGAATAACATAATATACTGTAATAAAACGAAATTAATAAACAAACATGCGGAGCATCCCGCCAGTCATCACCTGGCAGAGGAGGAATCTGTTTAAGGAAAAAAATTCGATCCTAATCCCGCACGTGCCGTAACATCCCGAACGCCACCCGGCCACGGAGGGAACCACGACTCTCTCCTTAAGCAGCAAAATTATCCCGACCCACCGAGGAATAAACTCGGGAAACGACTCGAGCAAAAAGAATCGATGGGGAAATAAAACAACAAAAAAAAAAAAAAAAAAAAAAGGGAGAGATTTACTGTCCGGAGACGCTGGAAAAACCCGGCGAGGGTAAACAGCAACCCTGCCCGGCTGGTGGGGAGAAAAGAAAGGTTTTAGAGGTTAAGTTCAGGTCAGACGACAAATGAAATTGTAACAACCCAACTGACATTGTATAATGTCTTCTTCACTTGATCAATAGGGCAGCGTCGGCCCCATTTCCATAGAGATGGCTTCCTCCCCGCTGAAGGGTGGCTATTGTTTGAGGAGGGAGATTTGCCACTTGAACCGTGTTACTCCCAAAGGATGTGTACCTCATCAATTATTTGTGCTCCTAACATCTACATATTTTCATATTAACGTCCACGTTCCGCGCAGCAAGAGGAGCAGGTGCTGATTTTTCCCGCCGGTACCTCGTAGGGGTCACCCCGTCAGCTGATTTTATTTAGAGGCAAAAATGAGGGGGGATTTGATAGACCCATTTGGATTCGTGAGGATAAACAAGCCCAGTTAAAAACACACCACATCACCTTCAGATAGTTATGGCTTCATGCAGTGAACACTTGTTAGTTTTTTTTTTTTCTTTTAAAGTAGATAAAAAGGCAACAAAAGTAATTTTTTTTTTTTTTTTGGCCAAGTGAATGTTGTAAAAAATAAAGCAGCTTTAAGGTGCTTAAAAGGAAAAATGTAATGTTGTAATTTGGAAATAAAATTGACCTTACAATTAATTTCAAAGAAACAATCAATCCTTGCCAGGTTGAATAATTCATCCTGTCACTATCTATGAAATAATTTCTATAAGTCCTAATAGTTTTTTATCATCTCTTGGTTCCAGGTTTCCCATTCCTTCGTGCAAATTTTAAATTTGACAGAAGCACCGTCTTCCAAATCCAATTAAACAACAACAACAACAAAGAATTAAACCTTTAGAAGTGCAAAAGTAATTCCCAAAATAATTCCCAAATTTAGCCTGTCATTGGTCTCCCGTATCCTCATTTCTGCAAAGCGACGATCGCATCATTTCACGTGCAACAAACTGGGCAGGAAAAGAACTGTCTCGCTGCAGTTCAAACTAAAAACTGGGGCAGAGCTTCACAGTAACTGCAATAATGGGAATAACCATCACTAAAAAAGAAATCAGAAACCAAACATTAAAAACCTTCAGCAACTCCTCGCAGGAGTTTTTAACACAATCGAGTTGTGCTCCGACGCTGCGCCGGGCACTGTGCACGGGAGGGCAGCGCCACTTCCAGCTCCCCAAATACGCTGCAAAATACAGGATATTAAATTAAATAATGCTGACTTAATTACATGTATTACCCACCAGTAAAAGCAATCACTTTAAATGCCTACGGAAATATTTAGGAATTACTTAAGCAACTCCGGTAGGTGCACTTTGGAGCTGATGCTACGCGAAAGGTGAGGCGCAAAAAGCAACTCCTCTGCAGCAGATTTTGGGGATTTTGGACCCCATGGACCAAAGTTTAAGCGAGCTCAAGGCTCTCAGGCTGTGCAGGATCTGGCCCCTCACCCCCCATTTATTCCTGCTTTTATTTCTGGGTTGCTCTCGCTCTCTGGGAAGGTTTCCCTGAGGGGCGACGCAGCTCTGGGGATGGGTGGGAGAAAAGGGCTTTTGTCAAAATAATCTGGGTGAGGAAGCGCCCCCGTCTCATCCCGGAGCGCCCCGATATCACTTGCAGCCTCAAAACATGCCCTATTTTCCCTGCAAAAGAACATCAGAAATTGTTTATACGGGTTGTGATAATCCTCTCAAATATGGGTCAGGCTGAGGTTAAGAGCAGCCAGAACTTGCACATCAAAGAGGAGCGGGGTTAACAAACCACCTCCCCCCCAACCCCGACCACGTGCGCATCCCGATTGTTCCCTTTCCTCCCAAGGTTAGAGGTCCGGGGAGAAGGGATGGACTCGGGCATCTCCCGAGCCTGCAGCCAGCAGGGAAAGGCAGGGATGCTCTCCCTGGTGCTTGTGTACCACCGGCAGGCAACTGCCCATCCGCCTCCGCCGGGAGCTGCAATTAAACCAAGTTCACGGTTTCCCGATAGGTGAAGCTCATCCTGTTAATTTAAACAGACCATCTGCATCTTTCGAGAACGACAAACTTCATTAGTTCTGGTTAGTTAAACCGAGCGGTGATTTGTGATAATGAGCCTGAACAACCTGTCACGTCTGTGGAAGGGAAAGGGCGCACTTTTTATTATTGCTATTATTATTATTTAACAGAAAAGAAAGGGGAAAAAAATAAAGGGGGACCTTTTGTGTGAGAAAGAAGGTCAAATTCAGATTAAATCGCTGTTAGGTTAATCAGAGGAACTAATTAGGGACGGGGAGGGGGGGAAACACTAGTCCGAAGGCCAGAGGGGAACAGAGGGAGCCTTCGGAAACGTCCCGAGCCGACAAACAACAAAACACCCCGGATGACTTTACCTGAAAACCGTGTAAAAAAGCAAAGAGGCGGCAGCTGCTCCCAAGAAGCCGCAGAGGAGGTTGACTCGGGAGGCGGGGGAGCCGCCGGGCAGGAGCCCCATCGCCACTTTGGCCAGCAGGGTGAACAGGGGGTAGCCGGGAGGGTGGGCGACCTACGGACAGACCGACACCGGGGGGTTGGAAAAGGGCTGGAATTCGACCAGATCAAAAGCAGAGCAGCACGCCCCCGGGATCCAGGGGGGTCTCCGAGCGGCACCTCTCCCCCGACCCACCTTTTGGGTACCAGTTTCAAGTCCGCAAATATTTTTTTTTCTTTCCCTCAGTGGATTTGGCTCCACGCCTCGCCCATAATAATGAGGCGGCGAGAAAAAGGAGGTGCCACGTTTCATTAGCGTGCCTTAAAGGGCTCCTTGTTTGGGTTCACAGTATATTAGGGTCATTCAAAAGGCTGTTGGTTTTTTTTGGAGGCGTTTTTTTTTGTTGTGTTTGTTTTTTGGGTTTGTTTGTTTGTTTGTTTGTTTGTTGTTTGTTTTTTTTTTTTAAAAAAGCAGCTCCTCAACTATTTTATTGGTTAGCAAGTTGAAAGACCACACTGCTATCGGATTACCACCGCGCTGACAGTCCTAAGGTCTTGCCTAAAGGGATCATGCACCATAATAAAGTTTATTAAATAATAAAACTTATTAAAATTGTTAACCCGATTTATTTTATTCTCCCCAGCTTATACAAAATTTGGGTTGATAATAAGCCAGCTACTGTATATACAGTAAAGCCTTTGCTTTATAATTTAGTTTAATTGGATTTAAAACTTGAAGTAAATTGTCGCGTGCTGTACTTATAAGTTAGTAAAAACTGTGGTTTGAAAATAAATTAATCTACTTTACTCCATGCTTAATTAAACTTCCTTAATTCCTAAAACTGTTAATGAGAGCATTGATTAAACAATAAAACTAATACTTACTCCAAGCTCATATGCGGCTGTGATCAGCTCCCCTGTGAAAAAATAATGTAAAACCAATAATTACTATTAGGAAATGACACTCCTCCAAAGTTTTCAAAATCCAAATGCTTGCATTGGGGTTTTGCATTAATTTGACTGGATAAAACTGTAAATCTGTGGAGATTTAACAGCATGAAATTTTCTAAGAATATTTTCTCCCTCTGATGTCATTGCACAAAATATCTTTTGTGTCTTTTCGCGAGACTTTTATGAACAGATAAGTGAAAATATAGGTAGGCTCGGGCAAAGAATGGCCTGAGACACTCAAAATGCAGACATTTGTGTGTATTTTTAATTTAAAACCAACTGACTCGATAACTTTCAAGCACTACAGTTTACAACGCTCAAGCTGCATTGTCTCTTCCACAACCCAGTCGTTTCTCATTAAAAAAAAAAAACTCAAAACAAACAGCTTTATTGTTTTAAAGAGGGAAAATACAATCACTAATCGTGCAAATCTACATCCACATATTTGGGAATGCTGCTCTCCCCTGATGCTAAAGGAATTCTGCTTTGCAAGTAACTCTTTTACCTGTCAGTGGATGCTGCATCCCATTAGAAACCCCATTTGGATTTTGCATTTCATTTGTATTTTACACCAGGACAAATAACTGCCACAAAAAGACCCACGTTAGCATAATAATTAGTAATACCTGGCATTTTTAGAGTGCTTGATACAGAGAAGCTCTCTTTGCAGAGAACACTCCCTAATGATGTATAATAAATACATTCAATAGGCACAAAACACCCAGGGATGAACCAAGGGAGGACAAAATTTAAAAATTACCACTGGCTTTCCTTCTTTCCCTCAAATTTCATAATCCAATTTTGCAGAGCCTGGTTTTACTGGTCCTGCTAATTTTGCAAGTGCCAAGGTCGCAGCAGCTTTGTCCCATCGTTAGATGGGAAAGACACAAAGCAAGGGCACTGATGGCTTTAAATCCTAAATTAAGAATATTTTAAATTTCCGCACAATTATGTCTTTAACACGCAATGCAAAGGGGGACGTTTCTACAAATGGCACCTTTAAATGCTGACATTACAGTAAATGGTGCATTTTAAAAGGAAGATGCTGTTGGCATTACTGCTGTTGGCTGGGACACTGTTCCCAAGCACCTTCATTGAAGTCCTCCTGGGATACAGCAATAGGTGCATCTAAAAGGACTAAAGATTAAGAATAAATCCATTCACATCACTGTGATATTGGTTCATATCACAGGCAAGAATAACCCCAAAGCAATACAGCCACAAACCAACCACAAAGCTGAAAAAAAAATAAATAAATAAAATACTGGTAGATGCCACTGCCAAGCTTTGAAAGACAACAGCACAACTTTGCCTTGTAAGAATTAAGGAAATAAAAGTAATAAGACCTGCAAAAAAAAGCTCCTGGGCTGTAGGCCTGTTGGATTCCACTGGGAAAACCAGAAGGAAAACCGACTACTTTGGATCAGGTTAATTCTCCATCTCCCACCCACATACCTGGGCATCACCTACAGCCTCCATGGACTAGAGGAGTAAGGAGTACAAATATTAAAAAACAAAACACACAAAGGGAGAGTGCAGCACCCACAAACTTGATTTCAATGTATTTCTCGTGAGAGAGAACGACCTCAGGCATCTTCAGACACCAGCTCGAATTGCAGGGTTTATTCCCTCCAACTCCACGGGGCCAGGAGTTGGACTCCATGATCCTTGTGGGTTCCTTCCAACTCAGGATACTCTATGATTCCTGATGTAAATACACTTCTGACTGTCCAGACTGATTCCCTAATAAAGGTGTTCAGACAACAGGTCTAATGCTGCCTGAAAACTGATTTATCCCCAGCAAGGTTGGAGCTGATGTTTGAAACACCACAGGGAATGTTTGGGGTTCTTTTCCTTTTAACTTTATTTGAACCCTTTTTAAGCTGTTTTAGCATCTGTGCATGTTTCTGAATTATAATTCATTCCCTCATTTCTTTATTGTAACAGTAAGTAACACGAGAGAGCTGCCAGTGGAAATACCGATTGCCTTTGACACTTTTGGATTACTGCAAACTTTGGGAACAATTAAAAAATACACAGATAGCTTAAAAAATAAAAGAAAATACCAGGCTCCCTGCCTGAAAGCAGATCCAGCAAATCCTTAAGCTGGTCTTTACTCACACAAGTAGCTTCAGTGCTTCTGGTGGCACAAGTTTGAGTTCCGTGCTCAGGCACGGGCAACTTAATCCCCTTGTGCAGAGACTTTTCAGGGGACTCCAGCTGGAGCATCCCATGGGCTGCTCAAGCCATGAGAAACATGGGAATAACCCCCAAAAAACACCTAAGTGATGGGGAGGCTGCTGGCTGGGACAGGCACGAGGGTACAGCAGGGACAAGCCCATCTCTGTTCAGCCCCCAGGCAGCAGATTTAGGAGAAAAGGTAAAAAAAATAAATATAAATAAGGACAGACAGGGAGCGAGGACACCATCCCAAGAGATTTCTTTTAATATAATTCCCTCTAATGTGTGTTCTGGAAGCTTGTTAAAGCAGCCAGTGACCCCAGGCCACTCCTGGAGCATCTCTCTGTGACACACACCTAGTTGGTGTCCTTGATACCTCTGACTCCTCCTGGCAGGGGAGTGATGCACATACATATATGTGTGTTTCTATACACACAGGTGCTGTGCTAGGAAGAGCCTTTGGAAATTAGGGAAAGAGCAACCCCCCTCCTGCCTCCAAAATGGGATAAAATAACCACAATAACCCAGGGAAAGTGAGGTCAACCCATGTGCTGTTTGGTTGCTCGCTGTATTTACCAGGATAATTCACATCAAGGAAAAAACAAATCCCAGCATCGATCCATCACCTCACTGGGAGAACCTGCATCCCTCTTTGTAAAGGGTGCTAATGCTTATTTGCACCCTGGAGGGAAAACCCAAGCTCAAGAACAATTAAAAACCAGGTTCCAAGGCTTTGCTCAGCACGGGAGCACAGAGACCCTGCGCATCCACAGACATGTATTTTCCATCAGGAAGAGCTTTAACGGAAAAAATGGGAATAACTGCAAATATATCGACCATCACATATTAACTGATACACCCAGAAAGAGCAAAACCAGCCCTGTCAGTAACGTGGGAGCAGAAGCAAAAGCTACTGGCCAGCCTTGCCAGCATCTCTCTCTCTCTCCACACATATTGAGGCTGTAAAATCCATGCATCCATTAAGAGCCCATTTATTTATAAGGAATTTCATGCACAGCTTGGATTTGAAGCCAGTGATGGCCAAGAGGCACAGAGTTAAACAGACCCACCCAACACTCTGCTGGCATGCGAAAGAAAGAAAGTATCCTGGACGCCTGTTCCACCGAAAAAAAATTACCAACACATTCCCTAAAAAGATCCAAGCCCTCCTATCCCCAAATTCCAGCCGTTAAACATTGCAAAGCAAGGTATTTTTTTAAGCAAGGCCAGACTAAACCAGTAAAACCACAGAAGGACCAGAGAGGAGAATTCTGTCCCACCCGGGTGGGACTGGCAGCACCAAACACAAAACACCACATGGTGGAAGCTGCAATTCCAGACAGGCAGATCCAGAGGTTTCACTGCTACACTGGCTGTGGGTGCACAGGACAGAGAAAGGGACAGCCTGGGCAGTGGCAGCACATCTGGTAGGGTGGCACATCTGCCTCCTGATGTCACCAGCCAGGGGACCCGATCAAATCCTCTGCTGGAAAGCTCAAATACAGGCAAACTGTTTGGAGAGGGTCAGGGCAGCACGGGGTGGCCCCAGGGCACAGCCCCAGAGGGACATGGAGCACTGACCCCACGGGGGGAGCCCTGGGCAGTGCCCCAGCCCCGGGGGGTGAACACCCCAATACAGGGTGTCAGTGGTGCTGTGGGGCAAGTGCCCCCATGGGGAGGTTCAAATGCACCAACCCCAGTGGGGTGAGCACCCCAAAGAGTGCCTGCACTGCACCAGTGACTGTGGGGGGTGTGAACTTATCGGATGGGCAACCCTATGGAGTAAGGAACCCTATGGGGTGACAATGACCCAGCAGCTGCTATGGGGGAGCAGCCCTATGGGATGACAGCAACCCTATAGAATGACAGGAACTCAATGAAGGTGACAGTAATGCCCCAGCCCCTATGGGGGAGAAACCCCTTTTGAGATGACAGGAACCCTGCAGGTGTGACAAGAACACACCAGCCCCTCTGGAGCAAGGAACCCTACGGGGTGACAACAATCCTATAGGGTGACAGCAATGCACCAGTCACTATGGGGGAGAAACCCTATGGGGTGATAGCAACCCTATGGAGGTGACAGCAATGCACCAGCCCCTCTGGAGTGAGCAACTCTATGGGGTGACAGTAACCCTATGGAATGCCAGCCACCCCATGGGGTGACACCGATGCAACAGTCCCTATGGGATAACAGCAACTCTATGGCATGACAATGATGTCCCAGTCCCAATAGGATGAGCACCCCTATGGGATGACAGTAACCCGATGGGGTGACAGCAGTGCACCAGCCCCCCTGGAGTGAGCAACCTGTGGGGTGACAGCAAACTTATGGGGTAACAACAACCCTACAGGGTAGCAGCAATTGGTGACAGCAACCCTAGAGGGGTGACAGCAGTTGCACCAACCCCTCTGGAGTTTGCAGCCCTATGGAGTGACAGCAACCCTGTGGAGTGGCAGTGATGCACCAGCCCCTACAGAATGAGCATCCCTATGGGATGACACTGATGTTCCACACCCTATGGGGGAGTAACCCTATTGAGGTGACAGTAACCCTACAGGGGTGACAGCAATGCACCAGTCCCTATAGGATGAGCAACTCTATGGGGTGATAGCAACCCTCTGACGGTGACAACAACTCATCAGTCCCCCTGGAGTGAAGAACCCCATGGGGTGACAACAATGCACCAGCACCAAGGGAGTGAGAGCAACCCTATGGGGTGACAAGGATGCACCAGCCCTTATAGGATGAGCATCCCTGTGGAGTGACACCAACCTGATGGGGTGACAACGATGCACCACCCCTCATAGGATGAGCATCCCTATGGGGTGACAGCTACCCCACTGGGTGACAACAATGCACCAGCGCCTGTAGGATGAGCATCGCTATGGGGTGACAGCAAGCCTATGGGGTGACAGCAACCCCACGGGGTGACACTGATGCACCAGTCTCTGTGGGGTGACAGAAATCCTATGGGGTGACAAGGACGCACCCGTCCCTATGGGGTGACAGCGATGCTCCAGCCGTAATGGCTCAACCCCTAAAGGCTCAACCCCCCCACCTCACCCCCCGAAGGCTGACCGCGATGCAGCCCCTACGTAGCCAGGGTCCCCAGGGCGCCACCTTCCCGTGGGGTGACCCCCCGCCCCGGCCCCAGGGGCTGTCCCGCCGCCCTGGGTACGTTACCCGCATCCCCGCCGGGCAGGGCGGGCGGCAGTGTGGCCGCGTACAGAGCGGCCACGGCAGCGCCCAGCGCCCCGGCGGCTCCTCCCGCCCCGGTCCCGATCCCGATCCCGGTCCCGGTCCCGGTCCCCGCTCCCATGTGCGCCGCCACCTTCCGGGTTCGGCCGGGCCGTGCCACTCCACCGCCCGGCGGAGGGGGGAAAACATCCCCCTGCCGCTCGGCTCCCCTCTCCCTCCGGGCCTCTTCCCGGAAGCTCCCGTTATCCAAAAGCCTCTGATAGGAACAGGGAGAGCCGTCAGTGCGCTGAAGCGACTCAGCGCGGGCACTCGTCCTCTTCATCCACACCCCCCCCCCGCATGGAGGAGTTGGTACAGCCCAGGAGGGCGGGTGCGGCCGGGCGGCTGGGCGGGACCACCGCGTGGGGAGGGGGGGAGAGGCGGGGCGAAACCACCGCGGAGAGGCGGGAGGGGGGGAGGCGCGTCCTGTCCCTCCAGCCCTCCCGGGTTCGTCCCATCAGCGAAAATATATATTTGAGGATCAGCACCTTTTGCCCTCTCTCAGTCACATCAAACCCCTCTTGTGCTGCTGCGGCTGGTGCCAGTGGGTGCTGGGTGCAAGACCCAGCCCATGGGCACAGGCTGCAGCCCCCACTCCCACCCCCCTCCCAGCCCCAGTGTGCCAGTTCACTGATAATAAAGATTTTAACCCCTAAATGGGGGGGTCCTTCACAGGCACGAAATGCTGGTGAGGGAAAAGATTGGAGGTGTCAGCGTATGGAATATTAAAAGCGGCGTTTCCCGCTGCGGGAGTAGTTAAGGAAGGCAAATAGCATCCCAAGACCTATCGATAGAGGACTAAAACACATCCTTGGAAATCATTATGGGATTGTACAAAAGAGCGACGAGGCCATACCTGGAGAATTGAGGCAGATTAAAGAGAGGCTTTTGAATACAAATGAAAAAAGGTGTAGAAGAGGGTAACGAGGATAATAAACAGCCTCGTGGATTAGATCTAAGTGGAGACGTTAGAAAATTAGGTTTGCATTTATTAAGGAAAAAAAAGAGCAGGATTAAGGGTTGACACGACTGAGAAAATACACCTGTCGTGTTCTGGGGACTGGAGAAGCTGCTGCTGAAGGGCTCTTCTGAAACAGCAGCACAACCCCCCCAAAAATGCACAATCTGAAGCCAAAAAAGGCATTGAGGGAGTTCTGGAGTCCCCAGCACAGGAAGGACATCAACCTGTTGGAGTGAGTCTGGAAGAGATGATCAGAGGGGTGGAGCACCTTTTCTACATGGAAAGGCTGAGACGATTGGGATTGTTCAGCCTGGAAAGGAGAAGGGTCTGGGGTGACCTAATTGTGGCCTTCCAGTGCCTAAAGGGAGTCAAACAGAAAGATGGAGAGGGGCTGTTTGAAAAAGCATGGAGTGACAGGACCAGGGGGAATGGCTTCACACTGACAGAGGGCAGGGTTAGGTTGGGTACTGTAAAGAAATTGTTCCCTGTGAGGGTGGGGAGGCCCTGGCACAGGTTGCCCAGAGAAGCTGTGGCTGCCCCATCCCTGGGAGTGTCCAAGGCCAAGTTGGATGGGGCTTGGAGCAACCTTGGATAGTGGAAGGTGTCCCTGCCCATGGCAGGAGAGTGGAACTGGATGGTCTTTAAGGTCCCTTCAAACCCAAATCATCTAGGATTCTATGAGTTTAGGGAAGGTCTTCTCACGCAGTCCAGAGATGGCAAAAGAAGCTGAAGTTTGACCCGCTCAGAAGTTAACGGGGTTGCTGGAAGGAACTGGTATAAACACAGGCTCCAAACAGCTGGGCCCACGTGGCTGCCTTCCTTCCACCCAGAGGGCTCTGTGGTGGCCGAGTAAGCCTCAATGTACTCAACTTGTTGGCAGGTTTCTGCCAGTTGTTGGCTGAGGTTCATCGGGGAGAAGAAAAAGATACGTTGCAATCCTCCATTGCCAGCCATTGTCACTATGGAAATGAGCGGGGTCATTGTTCCCGCACCCGTTGGGGCTCCTAAAATGTAATTTTAGCAGCAAAGTGCGCAGCCTGTGTGTGAAAGCAGGCTGGTGGCGAGGCTCTTTATCCGGAGCGTGGCTTTTTTCTTTGCAGTATTTTTCTTTCTTTGTGTTCCCCTCGGAAAAGGCATCCAAAGACAAATGTTCACCGGGGCTGATTACAATTATATTGATGGGGGAGGCAGCAATTTGCAGGCGAATATCGAATGGCTGGTAATAATATGGTGAGGACAAACTGTTCTTTAATTGTCCTGCAAGTTGTTTTATATCTTTGTCATGCAGAAGCTGGAACTTTTAGGGTGCCAGTGACAAAGTACTTTGCTGTAGTGTGGTAGGGCAGGCTCACAGCAGCCTTTATCTTATTGAATAACCACCACCATTTCAAAGGCTGGGATTACAGACACACTTTATGTTGAAAAGGGCATTTACATTTTTCTTCTGTAAACAGAAATCTATTAATTCGTGAGATTTTACTCCCCTTTCTTCACCAGCCATGACCCAGGGGTCCAACCAAGACAAGAAGGACATGCAACCCCATTTTTTTTTGTTTTGTTAGAGACAGGTAAGGTATTTTTTGGCTCATTTTCATCCCTACTCTGGAAGTTGGGAGTTGTCCAAATCCAAGTTAGATTCACCTCGCTGCAGAGCAACCCTCCAGGATGCCTCAGTTTTAAGCATGGGCTCAACAGCAATTAAAAAAAAAAAAAAAAGGCATTGCTTAAAAAAAAAACAACACAGGGGCAAGTGGAAAGCATGTGAAAGATGGCCTTGTGCTGCACATAGTGATTTATTAAAAAAAAAAAAATCCCTGGAACTTGTAGCACGAGAGCATACTCTAGTGGCAACTGAGCAAAGAAAGTGCTTGTGGTTTGTGCGGTGTCTTGATGAAGAGCCGACTCCCACTTTTTCTCCGGAGGCTTTTTCTCTCCTATCTCCTCCAGCTCCACGCTCCATGCTCATCCCGACAGGAAATACCCAAGGCAGGCAGAGAAAATAAACAGGAACCGCTAAAGTCATTTTAAAAACACAGCTTGGGAACATATCTCCCCAAAATGACTGTGTACTTAGAGAGTTGTCTTTTTACCAGGCTCTGTTGCAGATTTTCTCCTGAGAGACACAGTTTAGAGGAGGCAGGAGATAGGCAAAGGGAGAATAATACTTAAAGCAAATTCTATTCACCCATGGCAGTGTCATTACAAACTTGAATGAGCACAGTTATTGCAAATAAATAAAAACAATAGACCAGAACCAGTTTTACATAAGAAAATACTGAAATACTGTTCAATTAGTCCTAAGCTTTAGTTAAACCTTTTCTTTTGCCCATCAGGTGATAAGGTTAATACAGAAAGCACTCAACTGCTGTACTTGTGTAACAACAGTCAGCACCCATTTAATGAACTTTCACGTACACACGTTTAGCAAAGCTTCAATATTGTCAGCGCTGGGCTGGCACGGAATTTTAATGGCAAAGTAGCCAGCCTAGTCTTCATTCTAAACAATATCCCTGTGTAAGGAAAGCAGGTCCTCGTGGGGACCACTAACAATACAAATAAGCACTGCTTCTATATTTAAACAAGGAGTTTGGCAGCGTTTCCACTCACGATATCTGGCCGCCTGCAAAGCACCAAAAGGAAGGTTACGCTGCTTTTATTTGTTCTTAAGTGGCTTGAATAAGCTGCTTTTTATGACTTCTTAGGGGTTTTGTTGAGGGGGGACAAGTCCAGGCTGCTATCCCACATTTATGGCAGCATGGCTGCAGTGGACATGGTGCGGAGGGAGCTTCCAAGCGGGATAAAGTGGAATAAAAGCACACCTGGTCCAGTGGGCATCCCACTGTCCTTGGCCATGGGGGGTCTCCCTGCCCAATCCTGCAAAAGCACGTGTTCAGATCGGTCCAGGATGGGCCTCCAAGGACATGCTGGAATGTGGTTGGTCACCCAAAGCTCGTGGGGACCTCTGTGCCTGGATACACTACACACTCCTTGTGTTCTCCCTGGACATCTAAGGGACTTGGGATTCATGCAGCTGTGATACCCCCAGTGCCTTGTGAGCCCCTCAAAATTCAAAAGGAAGGTAAAGGTCTCCCAGATATGAAGAGGACCCAGCAGTGGATGTGGTCAGAGTTCTGGGAGAATGTGGGGGCTCGGTTCCATGGGAAAACAGGCTTGGTTCCAGTGCTGTCAGCAGAACTGGTTCGTTGTTTCAAAAATCAGTTTCATTTTATTCCCCAAACAGGAAAATAGAGTGGACTCATTTCCCCACGGAGATCTTGTTTCCCACAATTTTGCATTTTTGTCAGAGAGGCTTTATTGTCTTGTAGAAGACCCCCAGTCTCTGCCTCCACTGATCTCAGTGGCCTCCCAGCTGATTTTCTGGCACATTGAGCACTCACAGATCCCATTTGTCTCAGCTGGTTTTCCCAGAACTCTGACAATCATCTCTATGTTTTCACACCTGACTTCCTTAAACTAATATTATTTATTTGTCCACATGCCTTATTGGCAGACTCAGGTCTGGTGTCTGATTTGCACAGTGACTCCAACATCATCTCAAAGACCATCTTCTCCCAAGTGCAGCTGCTGCACCACGTGAGGGCCCTGTTCCCTTCATCCCTGGACTGCTCAGTTACTCCGTGATTAGTTTTTGCAAAAAGGGAACACTTTTCCCTAATTTGTACATTTAAATGCTTTTCATCCTTCTTCTAATTACAGGTGTAAGACATCAACTGCCGTCTCATGCCTTGGTGACCAAACTCGCAGCCTGGCCCAAGAAATGCCCACACACAGGATGTGGCTGAAGCTCTGCAACAGCAGTTTAGGGGTTTCCAGAGTCTCAAACTCTCATTTCTTCACCTAGGTTCACAGATCCGGTAAAACTCATCAAATAACTCATTTAGGTAAGAATTTTTTCACATTCCATCAGTCCTCTCTGTTCCATTCCCATTTATTAAGCTGTCATCAGATTGTATCAGCTGAGGGTCGTGCTCAGGGAATTTGCAGACAGGATGTCAAGCAAGACAAGAACTGCACGCTCAAAAATCCCTCTCTTTGCCTGGTTTAACCTGTGTTTTCCTACCTGGCCCTGCCATATCTTCATTGTGTTCTTCCATTGAAAA